GGGGGGGGGGGAATAGAGGAGGGAGTGCTAGGTTGCCCACCTACATAGGTCCTAGGGTAAAGGTGTGACATAAATGAAACAAACACACAAACAAATGGGAACATGGAGTCCAACTGACAGGTGTTCTGTTTCACTGCCCCCTTTTCCAGTTATTTTTTGAAGCATAGCTTTGGTCTAGTGTCTTTTCTTCTCTTAGGATCTTTAATTAAAAAAAAAAAACTAGACAAATTGTCAGACTGCATAGGTGATGTAAAGACCATATATACTTTTAAATGCACAAGCTGGTTTGGGTGAAGGATTTCCTTTGTTCCTTTCCTTTGTTCCAATGCCCCAAACACTGAAAGTAGCATGAAATTCTTCCAAGAGGGTCTGCTTTAATTAAAGCACTTCCTGGTTTGTCCCAGCACATAAAAGACAACCTCACCATTTCATTACATTTTAAAATGCTGGTGAAATCTTTGCCTGCTGCCTGTAAGGATTTTAAAGGGAAAGACAAATGCCCACTGAACTTGGCTTGTGCAAAGCATTTTGTATCGCTATTGATCTGCTGGGCTTGATTTATTCAAATCTGTTCCCAGAAGAACCTACAAAGCAATTCCTGGACATTCCTATATATAATACTGAAGATTGTATATAAGGTAAACCAGTGGACTCCAAACTTTCTGGATCGATCACCCTCATCAGTAAAAAATTTTTGAGCATGAATCCCAAATACATGTATGCTTGTTTATTGATAAATTATATACACATACTACTGCACTAATATATTATATATGTTATAAAAATATCCCCCAAATATATATACATAGAGAGAGAGTCAGCTAGCCTAGCTGGGAAGCACATTCGTAAAAGTAATGGAATTATATTAAAGTACCTGCTTTCACTATGATGTAGAAAGATCATGGAAACTCATAAACCTGAGCAGGTCTCATGCCTTCCTGGGCCTGAACCAACAGCAATTTTTTAGTGTGTGTGTGTGTGTGTGTATCTATATCTATCTATATATCTATATATATATCTATATAAATATTCAGTTCACTATTAGTCTAGCTTTATTTCCTACTTTTAAAGATAAAAATTAAATGTAAATAGAACATTCTAACATTTTCTTCCTGCATCCCCTGGACTATGTGCACCTGACTTTGGAGACCACTGCTCTAGACAACTGGAATCAGTATGGACATCTGAAATGCGGTTCACGTATCTGGCATGGGCATTTGAAAATTGATCAAAGCCATTCAAATGCTTTCAGGGTAGCTATCTCTGGCCAAAGAGAGGATGAATTCCAAGACTACATTCAACAGTATGGTTCCCCATTCATCTGATTTATGATTGAATTGCTAAACCAGCTATTTGGGCATCTGGGGGTGGAGGGGGCGTGGGGAGTAAAAATTTCAATATGGTAGGCCTGACTGTGTAATAGAAGCCCTATCCCTTTTATCTGTGACACACATTAAAAAGGGATGGATCTTCAGTCACATGGTCATGCCTACCATATTGAATTTTTGATCTCCTGCTAGCTTTAAAATTGGTCAGATTCCTAAATATAAAGTGTATAACGTCTGGCACCATTAAACATTCAAAAATAATAAAGTATCATCAAATAACACTGGAGCAAAAATGGTACAAATATATTGAGAACAAACACACTGAGTGATAATTTAGGAACAGATCTGCCATTTTTCAGATAGTCAACAGGCAAGCCACATGACCAGCAAGAAAACCAGGGAACATACTTTTCAAGTCACTTAAGATCTGAAAAGGAGAAATTGATCCTGCTGAAGCCATTTGAGAATTTGTCAAATTTGCATGAATGCAGTGTTTTTGTGAGATGAGGGCCCCCTACCTCCATTCCTGTACATACCATCGGCCCTGCTCACCAGAATCCCAAGGGACCTAACATGATAGCTGTCTTAGCTCCATAAACTTCTGGTGGTCCTATAAGAAGCAGGAAATTCTCAAGCCAAAAACTTTGTGGATCTGGAAGTGCTGCAGTATCTGTTCCATGAAAAGAGATCTTTGGGCAAATATTTAATCAGAGTAGTTGAAGCTTCAGTTTGTTCTGCTGTCAAAGACACTACTTCCTTGAAAAGTAGTAAAGTACATAGTTTAAGTAGCAGTACAGAAGGATCTCTCATAATAGGTGGCTAGTTGTAGTTAAAGATATACAGAATGTAAACTGTAGGTGATAAGAGCCAGGAATCACCTTGGTATTTGTTTTAATTGCACTGGTAATGACAATGAGATAAACATAAATGCAAGTTATGAAATGCACAATCATCTGTGCATGGTGGCTATGGTTGGTATTTGTAAGTCGTAGTAGCAATAATTAATACAAATAAATGTGCAAGACAGAGTAGATAAGATATCCTAGTTTTTGACAAGAGCATGGTTAAATAGGATGAAATAATTTGGAATGTTAAAATTAAAAACTGCCCTATCAGGTTCTTTTAAAGAATATTGGGGGGGGGGGGAGTCTGATCCAGCTTCCACTTTGTTCTGCTCATCTCCTACTAGCAAGCTGCTTTCTTATATTATTATGTTATACAAGCACTTCTCTGCCTTGTCTGGATTAACCAGGATAAGGCCTGGTTAAAACTTGGATGGGAGACTTTCAGGGTATACCAGCATGGTAGGCTAGACATGGAAGATGAAAAAAATCCCCAAGAAGGCAGTTGCAAACCACTTTTATAAGTGAGAAAAATGTACGGCCATATCCATGAAGGCAGGGAATTCTTTTTCCATACTCAGACAACATTCTATTGAGTGCATGTATCATTAATACATACTATATATAGTCAAGGTTACTCATCCCCATATCACTACTTGACAAAACTACTGCAGTGCACTCTACCTGGGACTGTCTTTGACACTCAGAAAATGCTGTTGCTACAGCATGGCGAGAGCCACCATAGCTGTGTAATTCCAGTCCTGCAGGCCCAAAACGGGCTACCAAATGGTTTCTGGATGCAAGTCAAAGTGCTGATTTTACCCTATGAACTCTTATATGGGTTGGCTTCCAAGTACCTTAATGAGCACCTTCTCCAACTGAAATTGCCCCATCCAGGCCATGTGTTATGGGAGCAGCTGCTGGTGGTTCCCCACTTTCATCTGGTGGTAGTGGGGAGCTTAGACCTGAAAGCAAGGATTTTTGCTAATGGCCTCCACCATGTGGAATAACCTTCCTCAGATCTTAGCTTAGCACAAATCCTTTTAGCGTCCCAGAAGTTGGTCAGGATGAAGCTTTTCTGGAGACCATTTGGGGAATAACTGAGATGATGCTATCTTATGTTTCTTTGATTGTTTGGGTTATTTTACTGTTTTACATCATTGATCGTCATGCTGATATTTTGTGTCTAGCTGCCAAGAGTCCCTTGGGATTACAGGAGTATACAGAATTAATAAACAAACAATAAATAAGACAATGAGTGGTTTCCATAAAATGACAGGTAGTCCTCACTTAGCAACCACAATTGGGACCGGCAACTCAGTTGTTAAGCGAAGCTGTTGCTAAGTGAAACCATGACATATCTTACTTCAGCTTTCCTTTGCTTTACAGACCTGTGAAGGTCGTAAATGTGAGGACTGGTCGGAAAGTTACTTTTTCATCACTGTTGTAACTGTGAACGGTTGCTGTATGAGGCACTTGCTAAACAAAGACTACCTGTATTGCAGCCAG